GTGGCTGAAAGTGTGTGTGTGTGTGAATTCTGGCCTCAAAACCTTCTTCTTTCGACATCATGTCGCATAAAAGCCCCGTTTCACCCCTTCACCTTGCAGCCTTCGCCCAAGCTGCCATCATCTGCTTTCTCGTCGCCATGCCGCTCACAATCGTCTCGATCAGCTTCTGTGTCTATGCCCAGCACTGCCGGGCACTGGGAAAGCGGATCAGTCATGCACACTCGGCTGGTGAGGCGATCATCTTCGCAGGTGCCTCAGCTGATAATGCCCATATTTTGGTCTGTTGCAGCAATTTCAGGTGATAAAGAGCTCCGATTGCTCGAACAGGATCGACTCGGACGTCGACGTCCTGTAGGCGTCCACATTTCCGTGATGCAGAGGAAGAGGCAACTACACTTTGCACAAAACGACGTAAAAACTGGGTCACTAAGCTGGATCCGACTCGCTTGCCAAATCAAGCAACAAAATTGAAGTTCTGCGAAGCTCTATTGCAATCGTCAGTTTGGCAGGATTTGAGTCTAAAACCTGTATCATTGGCCGGAACTGTTTCCACCTCGAGTGGAAGATTTACATAAATTCACATTACAGGAAGCCGTAAGAGTTGGAAGGCTTGGGATTCTAACTCTAATATGAGATGTATTTACCCAATTTCTTTTAAGGTGATGAAAGACTGGTAGTAGAATTTACCCACAATGATATGATGAGGGCTGATGCTTCCATTTAATATCATATGGCTTTACATTCCTTTCATCACCTTAAACGAAATTGGGTAAATACATCTCATACTACTGATTTACTGGTATAATGAGATGTATTCACCCTATTTCGTCTAAGGTGATGAAGGACTGTTAGTAGAATTTTCCCACAATGATATGAGTTGAGCTGACGTCCATTCAATTTCACATAGCCTTGCTTTCCCAAAAGTTGTTCTCATCCCAGCTGGAGTGAACTGCAGTTTTGACCTCACAGTCGAACCATGACAATGTAGCCTGTGAGCTGGACACCAATAATATGAGATGTATTCACCCAATATCGTATATGTATAATTTGATTGAAAACGTCAACTTTACTCATATAATTGTGGGAAAATTCTACTACTAGGAAGGCTAGACATCTTGCCATATACATCTCATTAAACTGATTTACTGGTAGTCTCGAAACCCTACTTTTATACGAATATAAGTAACGTTGTCGATTGCTATAGCAAACATACGTTTGCTTCATCGGCACTCCCACCCAAGAATGTGATATAGCAAAGAGGCCTGACGTTCGTTGAAATTTACTTATGCCCTGTGACTCGAGGGTACTCGGCGTGTCAAGCTCCAATCCTGCACTGTCGCGGTTCGACTCCCGCTGAGGGTTTTGATAAGACCGATGCAAGGTCGAAACTGCAGTCCACTGGTGCCTGGATGAGAACAACTTTTGGGAAAGCAAGGCTATGTGAAATTCAATAGAAAACGTCAGCTCAACTCATATCATTGTGGGAAAATTCTACTATCAGTCCTTTATCACCTTACACGAAATAGGGTGAATACATCTCATACTACTGATTTACTGGTAGTCTCGAAACAATACTTAAATGCGAAAAATAAAGTAACCTAGTCGATTGTTATAGCAAATATACGTTTGCTTCATCGACAATCCCATCCACTGGTGCCTGGATGAGAACAACGTTTGGGAAAGCAAGGCTGTGTGAAATGCAATGGAAACGTCAGCTCAACTCATGTCATTGTGGGAAAATTCTTCTTGTACCAGTCCTTCATCACCTTA